AAATTTGAAGAAAAATTAATAACCAACTCTTCACACTCTTCCAAAAATATAGAAGATGAGGGACTATTTTCCAACTCATTTTATGAGGCTGGTATTTACTCTTATTTTAAAACCAGACTAAGACATCACAGGTAAATTACAGACCAATATTCCTGGTGAATAGAGAGACAAAAATATTTAATAAAATTATAGAAAATGAAATCCACCAACATTTAAAAAAGGATTATATTCCATAACCAAATGAGATTCATCCCAGAAGTTCAAGGTTGATTTAACTTTTAAAAATCAATTACTGGGGGCGCCTGGGTGGCGCAGTCGGTTAAGCGTCCGACTTCAGCCAGGTCAAGATCTCACGGTCCGTGAGTTCGAGCCCGGCATCGGGCTCTGGGCTGATGGCTCAGAGCCTGGAGCCTGTTTCCGATTCTGTGTCTCCCTCTCTCTCTGCCCCTCCACCGTTCATGCTCTGTCTCTCTCTGTCCCAAAAATAAATAAACGTTGAAAAAAAAATTAAAAAAAAAAATCAATTACTGTAATACACCATGTTGATAGAATAAAGAGGAAAAAACATGATCATAATGAAGAAAGTGCATTTAACAAAACCCAAAACTCTCTTGTGACTAAAAAATAAAGAAATAAAACACTAGCCAAACTAGGAATAGAAGGGTACTTACTCAACCTGCTAAAGGATATATGAAAAATCTCCAACTAACATCATACTTAATGATGAAACACTGAAAGCATTTCCCCTAAGATCAAGAACAATCACGTTCATTCTTGGCATTTACATTTAAGCCAAGGATGTTCATCCTTGTCACTTGTATTCAAGCCAGAGGAATTGGGCAATGGTAACAAATAAAAGGCAATTAGCTTGGGAAAAAAAGAAATGAAATTATCTCTATACATATGGCATTATCTTTTATTTTAAAAATTCTAGAAATCATTAAAAAACTATTAGAACTAATAAATTCACCAAGGTTACAGGGTAAAAGACTAATATATGATAATTGGTTAGATTTCTATTTATTAGCAAGGAACACACAATTAAACGAAAATTAAAGGAAAATTAAAGGAAAAAAGCAATTACACATAATAGCATCAAAAAGAATAAAATATTTAGGAATTAATTTAGCACAGGAAGTACAAATATTACACTCAATAGAAAGAATAGCTCATGTTCATACATTGACTATATTGTTATCATAGTAATTCTCCTCAAATTGATCTATAGTTTCAATGTCACCCTTGTCAAAATCCCAAATGACTTTGAAGAATTGACAAGCTGATTCTAAAATGTATATGGAAATTCAAAGGACCAAGATAGCAAAAACAATCTTGAAAATGAAGAACAAAGCTATAGAGCTCAGTGTTAATAATTTCAAAATCTAGACATTATTGCAAAGCTATAGTAATCAAAACCACCTGATACTGGCATAAAAATAGGTATATAGATATAGATCAATGAGATAGAACTGAGAGACCAGAAATAAACCTTTATATCAATCAACCTAAGGTCAATTGGTTTTTGACAAGGATACATAGATCATTCAATGGGGAGAAAGAGTATTTTCAACAAAGGGTGTTAGGGCAACTGGATAGCCACATAAAGTTATTTTGTACTTCTTCCTCACACCTTACACAAAAAAATTAATTCAAAATAGATAAAAAACCTAAAGAGCTAATGTTATAAAACTCTTATAAGGAACCTTAGGTTATGCAAAGCCTTCTGAGAGACACCAGAAGGGCAAGAAACCAAATGAGAAATGGATTAGATTTTATGAAAATTAGAAACTTTTGTGTTTCAAAGAATACCATGAAGAAAATGATCAGACAATCCACAGCATGGGAGAAATATCTGCGAATCCTATATCTGACAAGGGGCTTGTATCCAGAATATATAAAGAACTCTTGTAACCCAATAATATAAACATAATCCTATGAAAAACATGGGCAAGGAATCTGAAGACATTTCTCAGAGATTTACAAATGGCCAATAAACTCATGAAAGATGTTCATCATGTATCTTCAAGCATTAGATAAATGTAAATTGAAACCACAATGAGCTACCACTTCATACCCATCAAGATGGTTTAATCAAAAACATATAGTAAGGGTTAACAAGGATGTGAAGAATTTGGAATCTTCATACATTGCAGGAAGGCATGTAAAATGGCACAATTGTTTTAGAAAACATTCTGGCAGCTCCTCAAAATATTAAACAGAGTCAGCATGTTTCCCAGTGATTCCACTTCTAGGTATATATCCAAGAGATGTGAAAACATATGTCCACATGAAAACTTGTACACAAATGTTCATACCTACATTATAACAGCCAAAGCAGTGGAAATAACCCACGTATCCACCTTCAGATGAATGGATAAATTAGGGTATATGTCTACAGTGGAGTATTATTTGTATAAAAAAGAAATACAGTATTATTACAGGTGACAGCATGACTAAACCTTGAAAACACTGTGGTAAGTGGAAGATGTCATGTACAAAAGACCACATATTGTATGATTCCACTTACATGAAATATGTAGAATAGGCAAATTCATAGAAACAAGGTATGTCAGTGCTTGTGTAGAGGTATGGGTGTTTGAAAGACATGAAGAGTAACTGCTAATGGGAATAAGTTTCTTCTTTGGAGTGATGTCCTAGAATTAGGGCAATGGTTGCACAACTTTGTAAATATACTAAAAACTATTGAACTGTATATTTCTATTGGTGACTTGTATGGTATATGAATTACATCTCAATGAAACTTCTAAAGATGTGGCTCTAAAATTTACTGTTTAGAATGTTCAGTGAAGCTTTTCTTTGCAGCTAATGACAAGTCTTGGGAATATATATTGAGAATAGCTAAAAAGCTTTATTTAAAGCCATGTTTTTCCTTCAGAGTTTTTACCAGTGCTTTCCTTCCATTGATGTCAAGAGACTTTCCCCTCAAGAGTTATATATTATATAACATTAGTCCAGAAATAGGAGAGGCAGAATTTTTCAACAAAAATTCTTAACTGCTGCCATACTCTACCATGCATTTGAATTTAGAATGTTCCAAAACGGACACTAGTAGCACTTTTTCTAATACTTTGTGTATTCATTTTCTGTTACTGCTGTAACAAATTACCATCAACCAAGTGGCTTTAACGACCCATTTGATATCTTGTAGATCTATACTCTAGAAATTCCATGAAGACTTTCTGATTAAAATTAAGCTGTCTCCAGGGAAGCATTTCTTCTAAACTCTGGGAGAGAACCTCTTTCCTTGCCTTTTCCAGTTTCTATAGGCCTCCTGTATTCCATGGTTCATGTCCTCCTTCTCCCATCTTCGATGAAAGTCAAGTCCTTCTGACACTGCATCACTTGACATAGTTTCCATTGTCACATCTCTTTTCCTGGCTCTCTTTCTCTGCATCTCTCTTCCATTTGTAAAGATCCTTTTGATTACTTTGAGCCCACCTGGATAATTCAGGGCAAAAAATCTGCCAATTTTAAGGTCACCTGATTATGTCTTAATTCTACCTGTATGTTTTCTACCTGTAGCCTCAATACCTCTTTCTCATATAACTTAATACATACACAAGGTCTAGGGATTAGGACATGGACATCTTGGGGGGGGGGTATTATTTTGCCTATCACATCATGATTTTATCCTAGTAGAAATGTATATAAATTAAGGTAATGGAGAAAGCCCTATGGGTTTATGGTAGTTTGGTTTATCACTAACAGAGGATTTCTCTTTTGAGCATGTGCTATAGTAAATTCTGGCATGAGTGAAGGGTAGGCCTTTATCTTGTACAGTGGAGGAAAGGATATTGTGAACTTAAGCCTGTTCTTAGGCAAACCAACTTTAGGGGAAAGATAAATATGGAAATTGAGGATCTGGAATTGTATTCCTTGCTTTCAAATAATTGGGATATGGCATACCCACCTAAAGACTTTCTATAATCTAGAACCCTAGTTAGATGATCATTCATTTGGGGCAGTGGTTTCCAAATTTGGCTGATTTCATAATTACCTGAGACTTTTAAAAAATAAAATTAGGGGCGCCTGGGTGGCGCAGTCGGTTAAGCGTCCGACTTCAGCCAGGTCAAGATCTCACGGTCCGTGAGTTCGAGCCCCGCGTCGGGCTCTGGGCTGATGGCTCAGAGCCTGGAGCCTGTTTCCGATTCTGTGTCTCCCTCTCTCTCTGCCCCTCCCCCGTTCATGCCCTGTCTCTCTCTGTCCCAAAAATAAATAAACGTTGAAAAAAAAAAATTAAAAAAAAAATTAGATTTCCAGGCTTTAATCTAGACCTGCTAAATCAGAAGCTCAGAAGGAAAGAGACTTAAAAGATGTTTTGAATAATTTCTTTAGTTGATTCTGGTAATTAGCCAAATTTGATAACCACTCATTTAGAAAACAAAGGGGGTTGAATTGATGATGAAAGAAGATTCATATGTTCACTAGCTTTTTCTAGTAATTGCTTATTAGTTTTGAAGGTTATAGAACATTTAAATATGACCTAGAACTTTGGACAGTCTGACCAATGAGTAGCCAATAGAGGAATGTGAAAGTTTCACTCTTTCTCACTTCCAAGTAATCATGCAGCCACCGAAAACTAGAACAATTGGATTATTCCTGTTTTGCTGTATATACTCTGCCATTATAAGCTATGCCATATTTGAATCTGTTTTCATTAATTTGTTGTAATTAGTTAAGTTATTCTTATTCACATAGATAGTGTAAGAATACAGTGATACTTATGATTACTATGCATTTATACCAAAAGTGTGATATACCAAGTCATGGTTATAGTTCCTATCTAAAATCTATGAATTGGCATATTTCCTGCACTTTACAGGCAAAATGTTGATCTTTTTTAGTTTGATAACCTTTCCAGAAATAAGACTAGATACCTCTTAACAAAATGTATAATAAATCAGGAGGTAACTGTTGATCATTAGACATGTATATAATATAGATCTTAAAAGGACAGAAATTTTGTATTTTCTCTGTAGATATCACACCACAGAAAGAAACTCAGGAAGGAATTCCACCCCTGACCCAGAGTCAGGAACCCCTGAAACCTCAGGAGAATATATCACGACCCATTCATCATCCTTTAGTTTTAAAAACTAACTTTGAGGAAGAAGAGGAGGAAGGAGATGAACAAAATGGTTAGTAAGGCTTTTCTCAGATTTACAATGAACATTCAAAACCCTATCATATTTTTTAATTTATTTTTTAACTGTTAGAGGTTTATAATGTAATAAATAGGGCAGAATTTGGTAAGAAAATAGCTTCAATTTTATTAAGTATATTAAATTCATTATGTTCTAATTTGTTCTATGTCTATATATGATCATTTGGATTGGAGAGTTTTTGTTGTATGATGGCTGGGAGATAGACCTCATTTAAATAGGGACAGTTGCTTACACTGATTTTTCTAATATGTGAAATACGGCAATTTGAGACACTTACTAGTATGCAAATTACTGATTTTAAAAATTTCAAAAAATCCCACCTGTGAGAACAATATTTGGGATTCTTAATTCTGATTTGTATATTTTCATACCATTTGGCTTTGGGACAATTTAATTAAAAAAGATGTACATATATCCTATAGATTCATCTAGTTTGTGGACAAAGACTCCTGAAGAAATTGAAGAAAAAAGAGCAATAAAGGAGATGTGTTATAAATCTGGTAAGAAATCAAACATTTGTGGATTTTCTAATGTTTGATGTGACAAATATACTAACCACTAGCTTTCTCATGGGAGATTAGGTGAATACTACAGATTTCATACTCCAGATATTTCATCATCAAAAAGCATAGCCTCTACAGCAGACAAAGAGTTAGAAAAGCCTTTGGAAAATGGCAGTGAATTGCAAGAAGGTAAGGCATGAAAAGGCAGCATTTCAAGGTGATGTATAAGAGATACTTGGTGTGATAGGCTGTGAATTATTTAGTAAGATGTACACTAGAGCTAATGATAAATAATACATCAGAATTGAGAGAGAGAAGGAAATGCTTTTATCAGATGACCTAAATTTAATATGAAAAGCTGCTATTAATTATGCTTTCCCAGAGGAGGTGCAGAATGAAAAGACTACATAAACACATGGGGGCATTACACCCTCGATGCAGTAATTCTATAAATAACTTGCTTTTACCATCTTTTTTTTCTTTGCAAATCACTCTCCCTGTGAAGTAGGCGCTATTTTCCTCTGTGAATAGAAAGGACAACCTAGCCCTAGAAGGACAAAAGGGAGATCACAGGATGACGTTAGTGGCAGAACAAGGATACATTTGTGCATTGAATGAGTGCCTTATGTGTACCAGGCAATTTCACAGGCAATGCAGCTGGATTATTCCAAGGCTGGACCTTTCATGGATCTTATGCTTTGGTGAATCTGATTTCAGTGTTGGTAAACAATTTGCCCTTAAAGGCAAGATAAGAAGAACATTATTTTCTGGATGTAAAACCAGAAGCTCAGAGAAAATCCATGGGTGTTACGAGTTTATATGGTTTTCCTGCCATGAGGATGAGATGAAAGGCAAGTTTTGCTGAAGTAGGAGATTTGAATCCTCTCCTCTCACTAAAAGTAAAAAATGATAATTGGGAAAATCTCCCAGGATCAAGACAAGGGTAGGATAAAGTAGAGGATAAAGAGTAAAATGCCTGCCAGTCAAGTACATATGTGGTAAACTATTTAAACATATGGCAGTAGGTGGCAGCAACATACCATTAGATGTTAGATGTTAAAATGATAGGAAAGACTTAACTGATAGGCGAGCACCACATCTAGAGAAGGGCACATTGCCCGCATTGCCTGGACAAGAAAGCAAAACCAATAATACAAGTCAGCAATAAATATAAAAACAGTAGATTACCATTAGGGATTAAAGATAATTACATGTACTTTCGCCTTAAATTATGGTTTTAAAAGCCTTTTATATTTAAAATATTTCAGTTAATTCATGAATAACCTTCACCAGATTTTCCCAAATATCAGCGTTTTACACATTTGATTTTTCACTCTTCTTTTCTCTAAGTATATACATTGTTATTTTTTCTAAACTGTTAGTGTAAGAGTAGGTTGCAGATATGATGCTCCTGCATAACTCTTACATAACTTTAGTATAACCATCAAAATCAGGAAATTACCACTGATCTGATATTATTTTCAGAATTTTAAACAAATTTCACCCGCTGTGCCATCCATGTCCTTTATGGTAAAATGAACTTTTTTTTTTTTCTGGTTTAGAATCCAATCCAGAATCACATGGTGCATTAGATTATCATGTCTCTCTTTATTCTGTTTTTAATAGCTTATTTTAGTAAAAAATTATCTAGAGATGTATAAGAAAAATTCTAAGAATTATTTAATTATCACAGTATAATTACCATTTGTCAGTGGTAGACTCTAATGCTTTTTACTCAATTTGTTCATGATGAATAGGTATAATCAAAAGAAATATTATAAAATTCATTATATGAAGAACATAGCAAATAAGTTAAATATATTATACATACATAGTAATGTTAGATTGTTTAAATTTTTAAATTGCCATTTAATAAATAATACATATAGGAAAACAAACTTGCTTGCTATTTTCTTGATAATTATAAAATATGCTTAAAATTCATATATATTTATAAATTTATTGTTCATCATATCACTATGCAAACAATAATTGCACTAACTTTTAGGCTTTTTACTATCATCATGAATTTTATGTAAGTACCTAATGATTCCTGGGGTGATTTTCTATTTTTTTCTTTTTTTTTTCTTATTTTTACTTAATTTTTTAGGGGATGGTCTTACAGTTCCAACAAAATTTAGCCTATCTGAAAGGCAAGGTGAGATAAAAGCATCGTTGGATAGGAAACCAAGGACTGACATTGCTGCTTTTGAAAATGGAGGTGAGTTAATTTATAACTGGTTGATTCTGAATATATCACCATATAATAAATGAGTCAAATTTCCTCTCTCATAACTAATTTTGTTTTTTCAAAATCTTTTTGACATTTCTATTGTTGGCTTTGGGTAAGACACTTGAGGCCTGGAAATGTATATAATTAATTGCTATATATGAATCCTTATTAGTAGAATGTCTGACACATGAGGTGCACTTTGTGAATATTTGTAGAATAAACGATTTTATGTTTAAACAATTGAATGGCTAGATGAATGAGATGTTTATAAAATTGACAGATGTCTAGAAGTTAATATGCTGGATCAATGAGCCAAGTTTAAACAAGGTAAAGTCAAGCTGTGATAAACATAGTCTTGCATTTAAGTTCAAGACATTAATGGTAGATTTTCTTCAAGTCGGGAAAGACTCAACATGATACAGATTGTGAAGAAAAAATAAGTGTTTTTGTTGTCCACAAGGTTTAAAAATTATTCAGTAATTGGTGATTGCTACCAAATAGCTCAGGTAAACTCACATTGAATTATTAGGAGTAGTATAGGAAGATCATTAAATGTCATAAATCATTTAAAGTACCCAGTGGAGTGTCTGATACATAGAAGAATGCTGCATAAATGTCAATTATTATTATACCAGTTCCACTGATTTCTGCACAGGGTAGTCCACATTTGTGTGTCATTTTTAAAAAAGGCTACTTGAAACAAATATTTTATGTTACAAAAGTGTAACTTGTATGGTGAAGAATCTGGAAATTAAGTATATAACATTTAAAACAATTATGGATGTTTATCTTGGAAAATGGAAGAACTTTAAGGAACATAAAAATTGCTTTCGTATATCTGAAGATGTTATATTGAAGATAAATTATATTTATTCTGAGTACCTCTAAAGGGTGGTACAGGGTAGAAATAAAGATTTCCATATGTTAAAGGAAAATTAATTTTGTTGACTATGTGAATTTTTTTGCAATTATCTGTATGTAAGTGTATATACTGTATATTCATATACATATATATGCACATGTATTAATTTAAACATACATGATATATATAGAGATGTGGGTGGTATCACTAAGAAGTGTTTAAACAAAACTGGCAAAGGTATATTGTAGAGGATAATCCTGTATTGGAAGATAGTGTTTTACAACTTTCTGCCATCATAGCCACTGACAGTAAGGTATTGTCATAGGAGGTGACTGTTATGTTCCACAGAGGATCATATTCCTTGGAGTAGACGAAAAGGAAGCTGTAACTGAAGAGAAAGAAATTACCGTGTCAAAATGTTCAAATACTAAAGGTAATGAACCATCCTATAGTTTTAATCCGTTCATAATTTGGATTGAGAAATGTAAATATAAAGCTTGACACTTGAAACCAATATAAGAGGCAAGGTCATAAATTAAAATATACACTAAATCCAGTGATTTGGAGTCAAGAGCCCTAAGGTTTCAGTCCTGGTCTGTCTCTAAGTGTTTGACCATGAGACGTCATCTCTTTTAGCTTCAGTCTCCTTATCTGAAATATTGGCCTGTTGGACTACATAATTTCTAGGAGTCTTGCTAGATCTACAGTTATTGGTTCTTTTAAATGGTAAAACCAAGTCCTTTTTAGTTTCTTTTTCCAACTTCAAATACTCCGTGTGATTGAATTTTCTTAAAAAGCTTTGTTTGTGAACACTGTGAAGAGTATTAATTTCATGATGACTTCTATGACTTCCTCATTTTGTAATTATTACCAACTATAGTCTGTGAATAATCAAGGATATAATAAAATCATAGTTTGTACTTCATAGTTTTGTACTCCCCTTACCATGGTTAGCAGGCCCCAGCTAGTACCTCTCTGCTGGGCAGCTCTCTTAGTCACAGACTAAAAGTTTAGCTGTCCTGTAATTAGAGGGCTTTATATATTCTGCATCCAAATGTTAAACAATTTCATCTACTGTTTTGCCCACCCTTAAATAAACATTTTCAAGAATAGGTTAAGGCACTTGTGATCAAATAATTCTTATGGGAAATGATATGTAAATCTTTTCTTCTCACTCAAAGATGGAAACCTTTTGCTGAATCGATCAAAAAAACAAAAAAATTCTAACTACAGTAATAACCATTGCCAGTCTTCACATGTGGCTGTTTAAACTAAAATGAAATTTTTAAAAATTCAGCTCTTCAGTTGCATTAGCCATATTCCAAGTGCTCAGTATCTACATATGACTAGTGGCTATCATTTTGTACAGTACAGACTGAGAAAATTTCCATCGTTGTATAAGGCTCTGTTAGACAGTCCTCCAAAGCATAGAACACACGAAAGTTGTTCCACTTAAATTATTTCTGGAACCTATTTTTAAATCAGCACATTTGATTTAAAATTGATAACCTTCTGATTGTTTCTTATGAAATAATTAAAAATATTGCCACAAATATATTATTTATATATTGAAGATAATGTCTGTATATCAGATATTTAATGTTTTGTTAGTGACAAATTTTGGGGACTCAATGTAGTGGTTAGGGAATTTCAGTGTTGTAAAAATTAATATATATATTTTAAAGAGGTATACCCATCATATAATGTTTGAAAAGTAAAATACCAACTGAAACCTTCTTTTACTAATATTGATATTTTATTTTTTTAATTTGCTTTAAAAGATAACAAGGACAGCCCTCATCCAAAACGTTCCCTAACTACCCGACTAGTACCTACAACGCATGTATTAAATGCTACTGAGAATATCAGTATGAAGTGCAGAGAGGACCCCTCTTCAAGTGAGACATTAGCTCTATCACTTTTTGGCCTTAGATATATTTGTCTTATCATGGATTTGTTTTACTTATTTGAAATAGAATTTTTAAAATGAAAGAAAAAAGGATGTTTTGAAAATTATTCAGGATTAAGAATTAAAAACAATATTCTTCTACTAACTCGGACAATGAATTGTGATGTAGGTCCTAGTAAATTATATACATACCCACTAGTTTAATTTAGGTATTAAAATTAATGATATACTACCTTCTTGGAAGATTCATTAGTATACCCTTTTAAATTTAACCCATAGTGGGATACATTGACAAATTTTTATTATGTGTTGGATTATTTTTCATGATTTGGCTTTACCATGCCATTCTGTATTCTGAGCTACTTCTCTTGATACAATTAAGACTCATGAATCTTCCTTCCTGTTTCCTTCCTTCCTTCCTTCCTTCCTTCCTTCCTTCCTTCCTTCCTTCTTTCATTTATTTCATTTACTGAAACTATAATGTTCTTGGATCCCAGCCAGGCATTGAAGGGAACCATGATGGTTTTACTCCTAAGAAGCTTAGTAACATTTGTTAAAAATATGGTTTCCAAATCCTAGGAGTGGGAGCTTGAGAAACATGATGGCTTACTCCTAAGAAGCTCAGTTTAGTGACATTTGTTAAAAATATGGTTTTCAGGGGCGCCTGGGTGGCGCAGTCGGTTAAGCGTCCGACTTCAGCCAGGTCACGATCTCGCGGTCCGGGAGTTCGAGCCCCGCGTCAGGCTCTGGGCTGATGGCTCAGAGCCTGGAGCCTGTTTCCGATTCTGTGTCTCCCTCTCTCTCTGCCCCTCCCCCGTTCATGCTCTGTCTCTCTCTGTCCCAAAAATGAAATAAAATGTTAAAAAAAAAAAAATGGTTTTCAAATCTTAGGAATGGAGCTTGAGGGTAAGGGTGGAACATGATATTTGGAGAGGAGGTGGTGAATCAGAATTCAAACTTAATGCTTAAGCTGAATTTGAGAGCTAGGGCAAAGACAGATTTAGTAGTCACTACAGAGAGCTAATGTAATCTACATAGTGAACTTGATGTTCATTTTCTCTGTTCAATAGTGAATGTTCAGGACCTCCACACAGAGAAATAACAAAGAATGGCCTGTATACTAAATTGTTTTAAGAGTCTCTGGAGAAATGTACCTTAGAAATTCCTAGAAGATTGAGCTTGTATATAAATTTTTCAGTGTAAAAATATGCCAGTAAAAAGTGAATAATTTAGTACTATTAGCACTTACAATTCTGACTACTTAGTCTTGTTTCACCAAACTAACCTTATACTCAAATTCTTAAAGTTAAAAGAATAAAGTAATATTCACTAAAAGTATTTTACATTAATCCACCTTCTTAAGAAGTAGATTTATGTTCAAAATAACAATTCTAAAACTACTTAAAAATAACATTATAATGAGATATATAATTATATTTGTAATATAATTTTGTATTCTTTTAAACAATCCACAAATTCTTTTTTGGGGGAAACATTTCCTCTGAGGAATGCTACGTATCAAAAGTTTTCTCATCAATCAATTTTCAGGATAGGCTTTCTCTTGAGGGTGGGGTGCTTTAAAAAATAAGTCACACTTTGTTCTAGAAAGTAAAATATTAGTGTAGTGCATTTATTTTTTTCTCTTGCTTGACATGTGTATGCACAGATATGTAATTATCACCAAAGTAATTTTCAGATGAAAGCATCTCTTAAAAACCTGTAAAAATTTGTATCTTCTTCAAGTGAATGATGTCCAGCCAGTGAGGAAGCCTCACTTTAAAGGTGTGAAGAAAAGAAAATGGATTTATGATGAACCAAAGAATTTTCCTGACCCAGGAATGCAGAGAGGTAAAGGATCTATGTATTTGATATTTCTAAATTATAATTTGAAACAAAATTAAATATAAAATAATATTTTCTACCTGAAAAACAAATTACTGTTGTGCAACATGTTATTTTACATGTCAACCCAGATCCTATAGATTTAATTCTCTTAGCACACATTGTCTTCCATAGTGCAAACATTTACCATGCAGTATGTTATTTATGGGTATGAAACCAGCTTGTTTTATCCCTCACTCCCCTCCTGCTTTCTTTTACAGCAGTACAGGCCCCAAATCCCAAAAATAAAATGAGTTACCATCGCAATAATAAAAACAGAAGTGCTGAGAATGCATCCTATATCCATGTTCAGAGAGATGCTATCAGGACTGTCTCACTGAGTGCACCTCCCCGCAGCAGGCCCACAAATAGGTCCTACAATAAAGTCGATGTTAACAAGGAACCCAAACTCAACCTTTGTCCAGGTGAGGCTCTTTCCTTACATGATTTACTCATGCACGTGGTTTGCAATCCCATGGAATCACCTGATGGTCCAAGTAATCTTCATCCCTATCCAACCGGTGTTCTGTTTCCAGCCCATCACTACCACCATGATGTCTTAGAGAACTAGTGGGAAGATTTCTTCCACAAGCAGGAGTGCACACGGTTTAAAGGATATGTTAGGGGGCACCTGGGTGTCTCAGTCAGTTAAGCTTCCGACTTCAGCTCACGTCATGATCCCATGTCTCGTGGGTTTGAGCCCCATGTCAGACTCTGCTGAGAGCTTGGAGTCTGGAGCCTGCTTCAGATTCTGTCTCCATCTTTTTCTGCCCCTCCCCCACTCACACTCTGTTTCTCTCTCCCTCTCTCTCTCAAAAATAACATTAAAAAAATTTAAAAGAAGGATATGTTAAAAATGTGTTGGGTGCAGATGACTAGACATTGAACCTCTCTAGTGTTTTGTCTCACACCATCAGACTTTGTTCCCCCTGGATAAGCTTTATTTCACTCTTGAGGATTGTTTTCAAATGGTTGACATTTTCTTGTTCCACTAACCGCATTGTTCAGTCACCACTTTCAGGTAGTGCCTTGGCTTTTCTTTAAGCCTTCATGATTACTTTCTGAAAGGGTTAGTTTGGGGGTTAACTGAAATATTTTTGACAACCTCTCATCTCTCCCACCATGCGCAGATTGCTTCTAAATCATTTCATCATGTAATAGGCAAAGTCATAGTATATGTCAGTAAGTACAAGGCCACAAGGGAGGAAGGAACCATATCTTTTCTTCCTGTCTCAGATGAATTTTGCTCTTTTGAAGTTGGGTTTCAGTTTTCTCAACTTAACAAAAGGCCACTTAATTCCCTCTAATTTTGTGTTTGTATTTTCCTGTGTTCACAGTCTAGTTAGTGGAGTTCTGGATGTTGTGTACTTTCTGAAACATAAGTAAAAATTCAGTGTCTCTCTTAGGTCCTTACTTTTATAATTTAAATAGAAGTTAGCTTTATTAAATTGTTTTTCTTCTATTTGTCTTAGAAATAAATGATATATGGGTTTATATGTAAAATAAGAATATTCTTAGGTGAAACAGTCTTAATTTTATTTGTTACTATTGTTTTATTATTAAATTTATTATTTTACTGTGAGTGGATGGCTGTCTAGATCTGTGTTAAGGTGGTCACAGTTATGTTCACTATTGCTTTTGGGCCATTGGTGCAAATGTCAACACAGGAAAAAAAGCAAAGAAATTCCTGGTATTATTACGAACCATGCTTTTAGAATCATAGCTGCATAGTAATACTTAAAAACACAAATAGAACATTGTTAGATAATCATTCATATATAAAGTTGCCAGAGGAAATGAGGTATTTATAGACCGAGTCAGTATATAAAGGCTTTGATTTCCTTGGGACAGTGAGTTGGTAGTACGGTAGAGCAATCACTGCCATCATGGAAGTCACCTTATGGAAGGTAAAGGGAATTGGCGGTGCCTTCTACATCTTTTCTTTCTTCTACAAGTATTAGCAGAATTCTATGTAAAATCATAGTAAGGCAAGGCAATGAAATATTTTGATCACATCCAGATATCACAGTCCCCTTTAGCTTAGCCTCATGGGGAGAGCCTTTTTTGAAGAATTGGGCAGCCAAATAATAGGGACATAACCATGTTCATTGATAACATATATGGTCTTAATAAACTCACTTGGCTTCCTAATGCCTTAGCTTTGAAATGCTAAAATAAATTACTCAGAGAATAGCTTCACCTCTGAGATGTTTATAACTTTGAGACACTTTTGGAATATGATTTTAAAGTAAGAAAATATTTAATTCTGGTCTTCTTTTTTTCTCAGATAAATATATGCCAACATCATATAATGGTTCAGCCTGGCGAAAAAGGATTCCTTTTTCAAAAACATACTCAAAAACTGAAAAGATATATACAGGTAAATATTTACTAGTGATTTTAATGTATCATACAATTCTAAAAAATGAATGACAAGTTTCTAATGTCAGGAAACATATTTTCTTTTTTTTTTCTTTTTTTTTTCTACCTTTATTTTTATTTTGATTATTTTTATTTTTATTTTTTTTATATATGAAATTTATTGTCAAATTGGTTTCCATACAACACCCAGTGCTCATCCCAAAAGGTGCCCTCCTCAATACCCATCACCCACCCTCCCCTC